CTTCTGTATTCTTTCTCTTGCTTGCTGCTGTGATAACATATCGCCGCGTATTTTTCTTCCATCAAAATTAGTTGTTATAAAGTAGTGTAGAACAAGATATAAAAAAGCACAAATGATGGTCAAGAATCAAATGGATGCGCAGACTGCGCCAGTTCTAGCTGTATTTGCATCAACGATGTTTGTGTACAGTAAAAGAAACATTACACCAGATAACATACAGTAAAAGACGGTACATAGAGATACATTCAGTAAAAGACGGCTGCTGCTGTAAAAACAGCAGTATAGAAATAAACTTCAGTTTAGATCGAAATGACGAAAGAGAATGTGAATGGGGTAATTTAATTTCATGTGATTTTTGTGTTGATAGAAGCATACTTATGTAGCTCAATAGTAAAATAACCATTAAAAAGTGATGCAAAGAAGAAAATCTGATGAACTGAAAATGCAAAATTGAAGAAACAGTAACTTAGCCATGAGGATATCGTTCGGTATTAGAAAGTATCTATCATGCGCTCTTCTCATTGTGGAAGAGGGAGAGGCAACGCATGACGCGCAATCAACCACTGCTTGTCATGTTTCTGAGTGTACAGCTTGAACCTTATGCAATTGAGAAAAATACTAAAAGTGCAATCACTTAATAATGCAAATATAAGGTTAAAAAGCTGTGTACTGCTGTGGCTATTGGCTTATGAAATAGCAAAAATGAAGCATGATGAATAAACGTGGATGAAAATTGTAGCTGTGAATGAATGAGCTATGATGAATTTATAGCTATGCAAAGTGTAAATAGCTTTAAGTTTGCTGAGCGACTAGACAAGCGTAAGCGTCATAAATGGGCAAATTAAATTGTAAAGCCAAATGCTGAAACAGTTTATTTCAGCATAGTGAATAATATAAACTGGTAAACTGACAAAAGTCTTTGTTAATTAGTTTTCTGAAAATTATCCGTTAAGAAATAAGTACTTTGGTATCTCGTGTTACGAACCGCACAACATGCACACTTTTCAAGGTACGAGCGTTTTTTACATTCCACTTTGGCTTCTAGATACGAGTATTTCTAATATCCCAGTTTTGCCTGTAGATTCGAAAGGCCTGAAGATTACGGAGTGTAACAATTTTTTAACTTGGATGAGACTAGTTTTTCCTGAGGATGGGGAATGAGAATGCCTAAAAGAATATTAATAACTTACCAGGAAACGGCAGTGCCAGGATACAAGCTAGTGAAAGGTGATTAATTTTGCTTTTTGCATTAATGCGAGTGATAACTTAAAACTTCTGTTGGGTTATCATTTGAAAATCCTCAAGTTTTAAAATAATAGAGTGATAGCAGGTAAAAACTTAGTTGTTATATGGAGAGCTAAGAGCAGCGCTTTGGTATCTAAGCAATTCTTCTGTAAATGGAGGGCAAATAGTACTCTTTATAATGGATAATGCTCCAGCACATTATAAGGAGTTGAAAAAGATTTGAATGAAGAGTTTAGTTTCATCAAAACTAAGTTCTTGCCTTCTAATTCTATACCAGTCTTAAAATCAATAGATCTAAGCCTTACTGCTAGTTTAAAAAATTTTATAGAGATGTTTACTAAAGGAGTTTCGAAGTTAAACTGACACAGAATTAACCATAAAAGATTTCTGGGGGGGGGGGGAAATTAAATATTCTGCATTCTTTGCGTCTTGTTAATGAGGCAGAGGAAGATGTTTCTGAGTGAGCTCGAATATGAGCCTGAGAAAATCTATGGTTCGACTGCGTCCAAAGAATTGTTTTTATAGGACTTCAAAGCGAGACTAACATTGTAAATACCGTTGTTCTGTTGAGTAAGATCATGCATTTAGAGTTAATAAACCAGATATAGTAGAGGATTTATTAAATAAATACAACGTTTAGCTGACCATTGGAGAGCTGCAGAAGTTGAGAATGAAACAGGGAAAAAAAAAAAAAAAAAAAGGATGAAGAAAATATGTCTTTAGAAAATGAATAACAATTAAAATAAGTGACATAGAGAAAATCTTGCAGCACTGGAGCAAATTAGAACTGGTTTACACGGGGCATCCAAATCAAGTCGTTGTTTCTAGAGCTAGCAATATCTTCAATGAACTGCCATTAATCATTTTAGAAAAGTGTTAAACAACAACATATTTTTTATCATCTTTGGATATTTTTGAAGTCTCTTCCAAAATATTAAGAGAAGCAACTAATAACAACAAAACCAAAATATAAAATTGCAAGAAAATTGAATTAAAAAAAAAATTTTTTTTAATGATTCTTTTTACACAGTGCATGTAAAAACAAGAGATGTTTCTAAATATAACTGATAATTTCTACATAAATGCATATTATTTTCATTTTTACCTTTTTTATGGCAGTGCCAAATCTGTGAACGGATTAACTGATTTTTCTTAAGGTAAAATGAGAAACTGAATTTCGAAATAGAAATCGTAGAAGGGAACGTATTAAGTTCATAAGCTGAGGTTCGATTGTAACTGCAAACATAAAACAGATTACACATCTCCAAAGAAATAATAAAGGTAAGTAAGAATCCCATACAACTGTAAAAGATCCATTACTAAATCTACGCTGAAGTACCAAAAATTGCAAATAAATATGAAAGGTATTGAAAAACAGTACTAGAATGTATTACTGCCCATGTGTTTTAATCTTACAATTGAGAAAAACGTTGCACATTAAAATTATTTGAGAGATCAGGAAGACTAGTAAAAATAATCATAAATAAGCTTAATTTCTGTGGTGCCATTTTTCTAATGAATAACTTCAAAAATAGTGTATAAAAGGTTAAACTAAACTTATGAAAGTCAAAAATTAAATTTGTAATCATTAAACAAAATAAAAAAAAGGAAAAATGAATGTTGGCATAAGGCTTACATGAAACAAACTGTGGAACATCTAAAAGAACATACATGAGAACATAAAAAAGAGAGAACATATCCAATAGAAACTGAGTAAATCTTGTTAAATTAATTTAGGGCAAGAAAGCTTTGAAGTTTTAATATCCATAGTCAAATAATACCATTAAAGAATTGAACTGCATTATTAAAAACTTTTAAATAACTACTATTACATAAAAATTAAACAGTGAAGATATAAGTTGTTACCTGACATAATGCAAGTAGTATATCTTTAAAATGAGTGCATATTTGGTGTTGCCAGTATACGAAATGTTTTGGTCAATTAGAGTCGCAGTTAATAGAAATACGAATATTAAATAAATTTGAAGTTGTGGTTATTCTGATGGAGATACAAATAATTTAAAATTGAGATTTGTAAAAAGAAGTAGGGAAAGGAATTGAAAACACACAGTGGATTTGTAAAATTCGTGCATTCAGCAAAGGCTACAAGGGGATTCAAATATGACAAGGACTGATGCTTTTACCAGTCAATACCCATGTATAGCGCTATGTGCCCTTGAGTGAGTGCAGCCACTGCTTCAACCTTACCTCCTGTGTAGATTATAACTTGCTCACTAAAGTATAGAAGTCCCGGGAGTGGTAAATGAACAACAGTACAGTGACTAGAACCATCATTTATTCTGTGGTAGGTTCAGGCTCGGCGGGTACCGTATTGGTACTATCTTCTCTATGTCTTGGCTGTGGGATCGTTACATGGTTAGCTATCGAGGGTTGTCTTTGGGGATTTGGCTCCTCTTGGTCAACACTGGGGGACAGTCTTCGTCATTGATCTTCGTTCTTCTTGTTGGCGGCTGCTTCCCGGCTGCCTTCGCTTGCGTTTTCAATAACCTTTACTGTCTGCACTTTTGTCCCTCTGGGTTGACCGGGGGGGTTATGCTTCCTTGGATCGCCTCTAGGGGTTGGGGCATCATAACTGTGTATGGGCTCTAAGCATGGTCTGGGAGTCTGTACTCCCTAGTGTTCTGCCTTGGAGCTTAGAAAAACGCATTGTGATCAAATTTATGGTTTAAGAAAACGTCCAGTCATCTGAAATTTGGCAGAAACTCCAAGCACAGTATGAGGAAGAGTGTTTCTCTAGAACCCATGCGTTTGGGTGGTGTAAGTGCTTTACTGAGGGACGAGAGCGCATGGAGAACATCCATCACTTCAACAAACATTGATCGTGAGAAGGCGGGTATTCTTGAGAATGGGCGCATCAGTATTGGTAGTGTGGAAAAGCATTTGCACTGTGGCAAGGTGTATGCTCTGTGGATTATATGCATCTTCACAGATGAGAACAAAATGATGCACAGGCAAACTGCCTATTCTGTCATAGGGTGGTTTGAAGATGAAAAGGTTGCACTTTGGAAGTTCATAATGACCGCAATGACATATGGCGTCACTGCATCAGTGCCGAGACCCAAGCTTAAGTCCTAGTTGGGGGGGATGGCATGCTATTTGTGGGTAACGATGCCGTCATCATCAGTGTTCAGCAATGAATTCACAGCCAACCTGAAAACTCCTACGGAAAGGGCGGGAAAATGTTTCCACAACGTTGGCAAAAATGTATCGATCCTGGAGGAGAGTACGTTGAAGAATGGCATGTTCAACTCTTTCATTCGCAATAAAAGTTTTTGTGAATAAATCAGTCTCAGTCATATTTGATATCACTTGTTAAATCACTAGGAACTTAAAAGGGCTACGGTCCACAAATTAGACTAATTTCTAATTGACGTAAAATTTTTCTCGGTCTTCTATCTATCCTAGGCTCTCTAAAATGCCTTTTGTAGAAACTTCAGATTGCTGCCAAGTTGAGGAGTGGAGGATCATACTTCCATGATGCATAAACTATTGTTTCAGGGAAGCAAAATTTTATATGTTAGTTTCTTGAGAAAGTGTATAAAATTTTTTCTCAGTTGATGAAGGTAGATTTTTGGTGGAATTTTTCTGTATTTGTTTTGATAATTTATACTTTTTTTAAATGCTGTGGTATGAGTTATATTTTCATTGTATGATTTCGTTCATTTTAACATGTCTTCATTTCAGTTTTTGTGATCGTTCTTATATTTTCACCTAAATGTTATTTCTTTTTTTAGCACCTCAAGAAACTGAAGTTTACAAAAAGAATTGTACTAGGTTACCTGATGCGTATGGATGTATAGGAATTCTGCAATTAAATGAAGGCTAGTAATGGACTTTTTTTGCTTTAAATTACTGCAAAGGCCCATATTTTCGGGAGCTGTAATTTTCACGAAAATGAATAATCGGTGATTTCGCGAGCTGAAAATTTCGTGAATTTTATATGAAATTCGCAAAATTTCAGAACCGAAAGTTGAAAAATTTCAAAAGTACCTAAGTAAAGTTGAGAAAGTTGAAAAATTCCAAAAGTACATCTTTTGCATAAAGCATTTTAAGAAACTTCCTTTTGTCCGAAAAGTCCGTCCCCCCATCCCGTTCCCGTCTAAATGGCGAGTTCAAGCGTTTGCTCAAGAATGAGTTTATTGAGTAGTATTCTAATGAGCTTCAATTTCTAGAGGAAAAAGAATAAAACCGATTCATGCTTCTTGGCTTGTGCGCGTATTTGAAGCCAAACATGAGATAATTTTGAATGGCTTCAAAGAAGCTGGTATAAATAGTATTCTAAATGAATGAGCTGCCTTCTTTTAATTTTATTGTTTTTATATTCAAGAAATATAGTCGTATATTATTCAAAAAATAGTTATAAGAAAGAAAGTTGTCAAGAAAAAAGCTTGTAACTGTGCAATAAATCATTAAATTTTGGGTAAGAGAAAAATTTATGATTTTTTATTATTATTTGAGGCGGGAAAAAAAAAAAAAAGTATTTCGCGAGGCTTAAATTTTCGCGATTACTACGGGCTCGTGAAAATAAGGGCCTTTACAGTATTAAGGAACAGTAATTATATCTTCATGGTCTGTATTTTAATTACTTAATTTCTTCATTTAATGGTTCTCTTTATAACATATAATTCTGAAAGATTTTGCAAGCGGTACTTAGATTTTAGCTCTAATTTTGTTTTTAATTAAGTAGCAACAGCTTGTTTTGTGTACATTTCCTTTCCCACCATAAAGTTTTGCTGTAGCATTATAAATGCATTCTTCGCACAATAAATATTCTGTTGTGTTCCATAAGCGTTCTCATTCATTATGTAGAATTTAGATAGTATTTAGGTTTCTGTCTTCTGTGCAGATTTTATAAACTACGTAAACAAGCTTTAGTTCCATTTTTATTTAAAACTAGTAATTTATGACTAACTAAATGTGTAATAGCTGAGTGCACATTGGAAGGAAAATCATTCAATAGCAGTAATGGTAGCTATAAATAATAATAATAATAATAATAATAAAAGCATGTGATTAGTGTTTCTTTAGTTCAAGACAGATTTTACTATGCATATTTCGCTACATTTCAGCATAAAACAAACTAAGCATATTTCGAGAGCGAAAACAACATGATTTTAGTGTAGCGAAAAATAGTAGCTAAAACTGTTGCTGTTTAAGTTATCTACTTTTGTTTCAAGAAATTAAGAGCTCAGTGACGGAAACAAGTCAGTTAATCAGCACACCAGCAGTGCTTCTGGATGGTTGAAATAGTAAATCACGAGGCAAATATTTGTATCTATGTAGTAAGTGCAAATACAGTATATCTAAAGTAACGATAAATTTTATATCGCTCCCTCCATAAGAATTAGACATCTCAGACAGTGGAAAATTGGACAGTGGAAAGCAATAGATCAATAAATTTCATACAATACAGGGCATTATATAATTTATGTAATGATTTCAGAGGGTATGATGAGAGAATTAAGTCGCAGTCAGTTTGGGTATGTTGATGGCATTACAGTGTATAACGACGCAGCTGCAATCATCTGTTGCCATTATGAAGCTTAAATATCTATTTTTAGTCTATTATTTTTATTCTATTATACGTAAACAAGCCTTTACAAGCACATTTTGCAGACATCGCATAGCACTAAGGGTGCAGTTTGGAACCCACTGCACCATACATGCATGTTTTACTTTAATAGATTGTCCGGCTTGAGTCGGTAGGTTAGCATAATAATCACTTGTTATCGCGGATTTGCGTGGCATATGATCAATGAATAGTACTGTTTCTTCATTCTCAAAAATTACATTCCAGGCAGATTTTGATTCTCTGAACTTGGTTAAGAGGCGGAGGGCAGCGAGTTACAATGTGTTTACACACTACGCTGTCGTTTCTTTTCTGGGTCACAGTTTTGAAGCTATGTTTCATCTTCTTTCATTAGCTAAGAATAAAAATGTTGATTGACGTGTATCATAGAGAGCAATTCTGGAAATCATTTGATTCTATGTTTGTTTATTTCTGGTGTCAACTCTCTGTGTATTCTTCTAGTGAAGAAGTTCAACTGCCACAATGCCCATTTCTGAGAAATTGTTACACGTCTGTATCTATCTGATATCCTTTGACTTCATTCATTTCTTCAATGGTCACATCCACATTGATCTAAGATCACCTTCAAGCGGCATTTTCTCCTGTCTAAACACAGTAGCCCACTTCTTAACAATGGCATAAAAATTCTATATTTCCATGAACTGCAACCATGCCAAAAAATTAGAGCACTAGGCAGGCTGGCTCAGCCCGTAAAATTCACCAAACCGCACCGGGTAATACAAACTTGATTACACTTGCAGTTGCTGTTTTGTGTGGCCCATTTTATAATTCTAATGTTATTGATTTTGACCCCATACAGAAGAACGTTCGAGAAGTTTTGAGCCAAATATATATATATATATATATATATATATGTAAAATTTATGCATTTGTTTTTGCATATGTGCATGTGAAATTACTTTTTAGTTTTCTGTATAATTTTTCTTGCCTTTACCTGAACTGCATCACTCAAATCATCATCGTCCAGAGTCGAATTTGTAAGTGTTTTAAGTGTTATTTGGTAAGAAACGACAGTGTTTATCATTATCATATGCATGTATACATGTATGTATATTATTTACACTTAAACAAATTAAATTTAAATTTTAACAAACACGTATAAAAGTAGAAAAGCAAATTTAAAGACAAAATTTTAAAAAAAGCAAATTTAAAGCCAAAAAAATTTTAAAAAAATATTTAAACAAATGTGTAAACATATAAAAGATTTAATTCTCGAACTAATCTACAATATCATTTAAATTCAGAAGCATAAGCAAATCAAGTGCAAAACCAATCCAGGAAAATAAATTCACTAATTTAGCAAATTAAAATTAATCGAAACAATTTTTTTAAAAATGCATAAGTGAATGACTGTTGAGCAGGCAGGAGACAGACTTATCAAGGGGAAGTTGCCTCCAAACCTAACTCTCCAATTATTCAATTCGTGTTTCGTCATTCATGCAGGCAAATGTAAAAGTCAAAACCAAAAGTAAAAAGTGAAGAATTTCCAAAAAGAAATACCAATAAAGTGGTACTCTTAGAAATTAGCATTTAAGAATTAAAGTTTTGGTTTTGACTTTTACCCTTGCCTGCATGAATGACTAAAGTGATAGGAGGTTGAGTGGGTGGAATGATGTTAATAGCTACTGCCTCTTTGGCTAAGAGCTGTGGTAGTGTGAGTGGATAATGACTGATGGAGCGTTTAATTGGAAGAATTACACCTCCGGCGAGTCTGTTAGTTGTTGTAGGCCTATTATACCTACATAAATCATAGTTTGCAATATGAAATTTGAAATTAGGGCCAAGGATGTGTTCTTGGAGGAATAAAATATCGGGACTGTACTCATTTATAAACTCCCTGAGTTCATTTAACTTTTGGGAGAGACCACCTGCGTTCTAGGTAATGATGTTCATCATGTGGGTGTAATTAGTCATGTTGGGTGTTGTTGAGCTTTTCAAATATAAGGAATATTATATACATATTTTCCATTAATGTTTCTGCTCTCTATATCAAAGGTTAAGAGAAGTCGAGGTCGTTTTGACGATGTTGTGAGCGTCATCTCACAAGCGGATTGTTTGAATGCAAAAAGTATGGGTCGAGGAAAGGAGGAATTATTTACGGATTACTCGTTTCTGATTGGAAGGTTTCAGTTTGAATGTTACAGCTCTTGTGCTCTTATGCAAGTTGCGTGTTACATAAGTTGGTGGGTTACTCTTATAGGGAGAACTTCTGAAAATTAAAGCAGTGGTGAAAGTATCGCGAACAGCATCATATATGTAAATAGTTATCTATCATGTTACTGGTATAGAAATGACCACCTGTATCATTGTTGGCAACTCTGGGAAAAAGAACTGCTCTTCCGATGCCTATTCTGCTAACAGAGGACTGAGTGTGATTCACACAGTCCGTTGGGATCGAATTATTTTCAGCGATATGTCACATGTGTTCTGGATTCTGATCGCCTTGTGCGTATGTGTTAGGATATGAGCTAGCCAATACATTGATTCTGTATTTACCGTGGAATACCAAGCGGCTCCCATACAGTCTGCTATGATCTGGGACGCCGCTTCATTTGATAATCAGATGATTTGGTAGTCAATCATTGCAATTTCACGGCACACTTCGACGCCAACGCAGTTGTAGGGTTTGTTATTTTTTCATTTTTATCACAGCGCTACGGAGCTCTTTTCTAACAAGTCATTGCACGGTCACATAGGGCAGGTATTTCCAGTGATATCATTCGGGCTGTCATCACACTGCCTTAGCGACAGCTAAATCGCCGGTTCTCTCTTTTGGAAAACATATTTATTTACTCTTTTCGTCCCAGCTATATTTTCTTAAATAAATAATCTGATTGTTCAAAAGTGTGTAATAAATTTTTATGTATAAGTAGACTACACCATATCATGTATGTAGAATTTTGAGGGAAGGTGTTGAAAGTGTTCGTATTCAGTCTGTCTCTTCGAGGTATATTCTACGAATTTCGATAATACAGGTCATTTGCTGTGTTGAGTGTTATCATTATTTCGAATTAAAAGCATTTTATTATAAAATTTAATTATTTTCATGTAATATTGACGCGGATTTTGGCAAAAGCAGTCCTATTTGTTGTTTTACTGGGTTATAAATTTGATGATATAATAAAATGTTTACGATATTGCAGCTTATTGAAGAACCTAGTTCTTTACTTCGCGAAATTGTTCAAAACGGTGTAAAGGTTTTTAGAGCAACATTATCCATCTCAGAGCAATATCATCATGTAAGCCACAGAAGGAAAATGCTTTAGAAACATTTCGCTTTAGAAACATTTTGAAACGTAGACAAAAACTAATCATTTTGGACGAATTTTAATGAGATTGGGCCTAAAGTGAGTCTCAAGCTGAGTTGATTGGCACTACGAGAAATAGAGAGATAAAGAAGAAAGAAGCCTACTATTGTTTTATGGAAGGAGATTCCCAAATCCAAACAATAACATGTGTTGCCTTGCTGCTTCTCATCATTTTCCACATATGCCCATCAACTTCGTTAAGGTACAACAAAAGTAAATTTCATCTACTTTAACTGTTTAGTTTTGTGTTTACATTTTTTGGGAGGGGGGTGTATGTGTATGTAATGGGGAAGCTTTTATCTAATAATTTTCATTCGTTCTCTATTAAGAACTTGTGCACAAAGTAAAAGTTTAAATATATATATATAGTCATTGGTGCTTCAAGTAGAGATTATATCCATTTTACATTTATTCCCATGGAGAAAAATAGTCTGTTATGCGAACATGTCGGGTGACGAACAACGTTCAGAAATGAACTATATTCGCGAACCGAGGTTTCAATGTACTAGTGTTTTATGTGTGTCGTTTTGTCAAACGGATTTGATCATTAAATATTTGGTGTGATTAATACCCTCTTTTTTTTTAAAGAGAAAAACCTTTGCTTTCGAGCTACTAAAAATGGCATAATAGATGGTCTTTTAATAATTAATTAAATATTTTTTCATGGTTTTAGGTACTTGCACTTAATTTACATATGCTCTCTGAATTTAAATGATATTGCGAATTAGTTAGCAGTAATAATTAATCTTTTATTTCTATACAATTAAATTTTCATAATTTAAAATTTAAACTAGCTTTATACGAATTAGAGAATATTTGTTAAATTCAAACTTCATTTCTTGCAGCAATGGCACAAGACAGTTATTTAAATTTAATTTTATTTTATTGTTGGTTCTTATGAAACAATCTTGTTATTACTTTTGTATTATCTTAGATGTTACATTTATTAAAACTATAATGGGAAGTAATAAAGTTTTTTTATTTCTTTGTTCTTGCAGGTGGTACAACACTTCTTTACTTGGCTTTAGTCAACAGTTGCCTTTCTGTTGGTAAGGTTCTAAATAGCGAAATATTTCGAGTCACTGAAACCTATTTTATCAGTTTACGTAATAACCTGGAAGATGTTGAAAGAATTCAAGAAGTTCGTAAAGTACTCAATTCAGGCACATTTTATTTCTCATGGTCCTGTACTGAGGAACCATTAGATTTGACATTATGTGAGCAACGGGCACATTTTACAACTGAATCGGACAATCGATTTTTTTGGTGAGCTTACTTCTTTTAAGTAATTTCAAATGTAATGAAAGTATTAAAAGTAGATGTTATTTAAAACCGTTGATTTTGAGTGCAGCCTCCTATTCGTGTTTTGCTTCTGAAGAAGTACTTGTGTGAGCTGTCCTTGAAATTGACAGAATTTTATATACAATTTGCGTGAATCTAAATCTTTTCTAATTAAGTTTCTCTCTTATATATGCATAATTCTCTTCCATATAAGCAGAAAGTATTTAAATTCTGAGTAATGATTGTGTAGTTTGTCTTGCAGATCATCATAGTTACATAAAAAGGAGAATGATGCCTATAAGTGTGCTGATATGAGCTAAAAGCTTAAAAAAAGTTAATTACAGTACAAAGTCCGTAATCCGGACTCATTGGGACTTCGGCGATTCCGGATTAGGTTTTTTTCCAGATTATAGGTCATCAATTTAAATCTGGTAAGATGGCATGCAGAAATTCTACAATTAAAAATATGAAACCGTAATTTATGAAATAAAGAGCAATCATGATCTAAAGGGTATCAATATTTACAAAAAAAAAAAAAAAAAAAAAAAAAAAAAGAGCTTAATATTTATTTGTTTACTTTATTAAACATTTCTTTCAATGTAAGTTGTTTAAGTGGCTTCATGTTTTGTGCTAATATTTTCTCTTTAATTCTATAAACAGACATAATTTTTTGTTCAGTTACAAAGTTCCACTGTTCAAGTCCTGTAATTGCTGTGTCGAGAATACCAACTAAATTGTGAATCGAAATTTTTCCGTTTTCAATAATCTCTGTCACTTTCTCCACTATCGGAAGCGGTATTCTCTGGATCTAGAACCATACTACAGATTTCGCCGTCCGTTAATTGATTGATGATTGGGGCATTGTCGTCGCAATGAAAAACTTCTGTTATATCATCTTCATTTATTACCGCTTCTCCACATTTCTTTACAAAATCCAATAACTGGAAAATTTCACCTTTAGTTTGCGATGTCCGAAAACCTTCAAATTCGCGGCTATCGTCTTCATCGTCCTCACCATGAAATATGGTAGGTGGCCATAAATTATGCCAAGCATTTTTTAACGTATCTGGAGATACGTCCTCCCAACGTGCATGTGTAAACGCATTATGTGCATGCATAAACGCATAAAGCATACAAAAAAAAAGTTTGTGGCTTTGAAGTCTGGATTATATATAGATCATTCCAGATAATGGACGTCCGGGTTACAGACTTTGTACTGTACTGTATTTGGTACTTATATTCCCCTCTGTTGTTCTGCATTTCCAAAGCTCGTTTATAAAACATGTAGCTTAAGTCAGATTTATAGTAATTAAATTGGCTATCGTACAGCATTAATGCATACTTGTATAGAAGAAGCGTATGAAGCTATCTGGAATACTACAATTCATCTTACGGTGTAATGCATAATGCACACGAAGTAAAAGCATCTTTTGACCATACAGGGGGACATTACATTTTCAGCAACGGGTATTTGAACAAAAACGTTTGGGTTTTTTTTATCTGAAACGATTCCTGTCATAGCACAACCATCATAAATCGCTAGATTTCTCATTTTCTAACGCCGTTATTCTCTCTTATGAAGATGATTCTACAGGTTCATCTTTACGGACAGTTCAGGCTATCGAAAACAACATGGCGGCTAGTCTATGAGAGATACCAAAAGAGGCATTCTGAAAATGGTTTAAAGAACAGCAGGAATGAAGCAAATGTGTTTATTCTGGTAGCTGTTGCTTTGAATGTGATTAGGTAATTTCTTACATTTCAAATGGAACTGCTGTACAAGCATTTTCCATGAACGTTTTGAACAGAGAGGTATTACAGTAAGTATTAAATTCATTGTGGGTCCGGGAAAGAAATAAAAGGCAAATTGTAATAAATATTGCTATGTGCGTACAGGTTTTTAATGGATAGAGTATACATAGATCTGTGATAGCTTTATAGAATTTATATTCCCCAAAGGAACACTTTACAGAACTTTTCACAATTACTCGTACAGCTGTTCTTAGTATGACAGAGCACAAACAATAGTTACCACTTCAAACTACTAAGAACTTTAAACACAAAACAGTATCCAAAGTCTCAACGCATAAGCTCGCAGAGTACTTTCTCAGTACTTCACGATTTTGACCTAAACTCTGAACTCAAGTTTGAACTAAACTAAACTGATGCTGTCTATTGTCTTATACAGTTTTTCCCAGAAAGGCCGAGAAATTTCCAGTACCTTTGATTTTCTCGAAATTGCGGGAAAATGTACGCAGTTAGTTATATAAAAATCGGACCACAATGTCACAAAATTTGTCGAGTTTGGGCGATTTCTCTCTAAATTTATCGCCAAAACCTTCACCATCTTGGTGCTAGCTTGGTAATGCCTGTTTATCTCAATCTTAATGGATCTGCACCTGTAACTTTATTTTTTCGTTGGAGCTTCATTCTTGAGACTTTCATCATAAAAAATATACTAGAATTTGCATATAATTTTACTACAATGATTTACATATGCAGAAAATTCGTAACCATATGATGTGTAGTATCAAGACTAATATGCATTTTACATTTATAAAAAAATTTTTCAATGTAAAGATCTAATATGTTTGTTCAGCATCATTTATGTAACATCCATACGAAAATTATCTGTATGTACAATTAAAAACTTTTATTTTGGTTTTTAAATTTATTACAAACATCTGTAATAAGTAAAAAAAACTTAATTTTTCAACATACATCATATATCGGAAATTGCCTGAAAAACTGAGGAATATTAATAACTCTCGAGAGACCTCATAAGTAGTACGCTTCTCGGCCAAGAGGTGATAGTTGATAGGTTTAGAAGGTTGTGTATAGTCAGATAAGATTGCAGGAATTTCAGTTCTCTAGGCAATCAGCACAGTTGGTGCTCTGTATAAATTAAACATATTAATACTTCAAGCTATAACGTACTTAATAACTTTAATTAATTATAATTATAATTAATTATCAATAACTTTAATTAATTATAATTAATGAATTATATTAATTATAATATTACATTATTAACATTTGCAATCTGTTACCAATGCGACCTATTAAAATGTATTTTCCTGCCAGAATTGTCAAAAAAAATTGTAGGGCCACCTAAAACATTTTCAATATTTATCTTGCAAAGAACATTATGAATGCCAGAAGCAACTTGTTTTAATGTACTCAGTCTAGAATTGAGCTGGTGTGAGCTGTACGATTTTATGGGCATCTCTTCATGATTGTTATTAGATTGATAGATGCTTATTATATCCTCAGTTGTTGTTTGTATTAAAACAAGTGGAAATTTTGACTGTTTTTATTTAATCAGCTCTTATTTAATTTTTCAAGATAAAAAAAAAAGCATCAATGCACATTGACCGTGTTATGATACTCAAACCGTTACATCACTGAAGAAAGTTCTTGGTACGGAATACATTTTTTAAAAAATACTTTTCTAGATTTATCAAAAATGCATCAGAATATTCAAAATCGAACACTCATGTTTCTTCCCTCCTTTCGGCTTGTATTCATTTTGAACATAAGATCGCCATCTAACGTTTCTGCTAAATTTCAAGCATCACCCTCAGTGCTTTTAAGTCCACTATTATTGTAATGATTCAAGAACCTTTTGTATATCTTAAGAAAGTGGTATTAAATTTCATATAAGGATGCTAAAAAATCCAAAAATTCCTGCTGTTGAAGATGTCTATTTCACCTGTGTGTGGAGTTAGGCCTCTGGACTATGGTATTTAAAATAAAGCTATTATCAGGGTAAGGATAAAATATTCAGTGTTGTGTTAAATTATTATTTATTCCCCCAATTGGTAACTGAAATTAAATTAGCTCATTTTAAATACAATGTACTTCAGTAAAATATTTTTGATTTGAAAGTTTTCCTCCCTCCAGATTCATCTGCTCTTTTATGACTTAAATGTGAAAACTTTGTTCGCTCTTTCCTCTCAAGTAAATAAAAATCATAAGTTAAATAGATATAAATAACAAAGCATAAAAGCTAACATGTAGCCTGTGAAATATAGTATTGAACACCTAGTTGGAAAATTTTATTATGTAGCCTGTGAAATATGGTATTGAAAACTTAGTTGCAAAATTTTGTTCAGAAAGTAAAGAAAAATGGCTCTATTTCCTAAAAAAGAAATTAATAGTATTGACTATAAAAGGCTTAAAACTGGCTAGCAATTTTTACCACTGATTTTTGTTAATTGTAGTTTTTGCATTTAAATTTGTGTAGATATTTCAAGATTTTTATCCGTTTGAACCAGTGAAGGCAAAATTTTAAGAAATTCTGTATGTTTCCAATATATATATATATATATGTTGAATGATGTCTAATTATAATATTCCTTTTTCTAAATAGCAGATTGAAAATCTCAACTTAGATTCGTTTCTGTGACAACTTGCTTATTTTACATTTAAATGCTATCTTCATAAAAAGTTTTCAAAATTAGTTTTATTAATTGCTTATATATGAAGTTATATTAATTTATTATATTGTATATATTATTTTAATATTTAATACTCTGTATTAGGTTTAGAGTGCATAAAGAAGTTTCCATATTTGGATCTGAAATTTTTTAGTACTTTTTGAGACATTACAAAATTTTACATTAAGTAAATGTTTAGAATCTTTGATGCAGCTGTTAAATGCAGTTTTGTGCTTTAGAAGTATTTTGACAATTTTATGCTTGTAGTCTCACTCTTTTTGGTAGCATACACTAAGTCAAGACTCTGATAGAGAACTAAGCGAATTATCGCTATGTGCAGATAAACAGCAGAACGTAGGAAGGGTGTAAAACACCTGTAGCGATGTAGAGAACTACTCAAAGCTGGCAAATTTGGAAGAGTTGGAATTCGTGAAATTAGCGCACGGGAGCTCTTTTGCGCTGGTGGTAGAGAATTCGGCTCTCATGAAACATACCCTTGATTAAACAGATCTTGGATCGAATCCCAAGGTCATTATCATCTTCAAGGGCG